GGTCTTAGAGTTACCTCTACGGTTGAACCAACAATCAATACGAAACTAACGATTTTAAATTGGCTCACTACTTGACTAGCATATTGGTCCCAAGCAAACGATTAACGTAAAGGAGGATACGGTCAAAATTTGGTCAAGGGAAAACGCGTGTAAATCGGTGAAATCGTTTATTTAAAAAATCAAATTAAATTTCTTTTTCAAGTTCAATTAGTATAAAATTCAGGAAAAATATTCAGTTAGGCTTCCGCTTTACCAAATCCGAATTGCCGGGCCTTACGCTTGACCCCTGCCATCAGATTTTGTACAGCCACCTTGTCCACCTTCTTCGCCGCAGAAAGCCAGTTTGCCTTGAACTGCTGCTCGCCCTTAGCAGTTTTTTTGGTCTTCTTTAGGTTCCGCTTGACAATAGCCCAGTATTTCTCAATTGGGCCGAGCTCTGGCGTGTTGGGAGGGTTCTTGTCCTTGGGAACCTCCTGCACGTTGTTGGCGGCGTACCACTCCATGGCCTTTTTACCGTAATGGCAAGATGCCAAATCCAGCCAAAACAGTAGGGAACAACCGTGTTTCTTCAGGAAAGGCAGCAGACGTTTATTCAAACACTCTTTCACGTAAATTTCTTGGTTGACAGTCCCGGAAGCTATGAAAATGCTGCTTTTCAAGCCACAGGTACAGATGGCTTGCCAAACCAGATATTTCTTTGCGAACTTTGACAGTTTCATGTGCTTGAAAACATCTGCTACCTTTCCCCTTCCTTTTGCCGTATAAAACTCCTGTCCCGGAAGCTGCTTGTAGTCGGCTTTGACGTAGGTTTCGTCGTCCATTACCACGCAGTCAAACTTCGTCAGCATCGTCGTGTACAGCCTCCGGGATCGCGCTTTGGCCGTCGTATTTTGTTTATCATCGCGATTTGGAGTCACTACCTTCTTGTAAGTCGATAGTCCGGCTCGTTTTTTGGCTCGATGCACGGTTGTAGACGATACACCCAGCTTATTTGCGGCATCTCGGAGAGAGAGGTTAGGGTTTCGCTTGAAACTACCGGCAACTCTCTTTGTCGTCTCAGCGGCTTCCGGTTTTCGATTTCCCCCCGATCTAGACTTCCTGGCTGTCGACAAACGTTCCCCAAACACTTTAATTACATTTGTAACGGTTGATTTGGCAACTTTTAGCGATTTTGCCAACTTTGCGTGCGAGTAGCTCGGATTTTCGCGATGCGCGAGCAAAATTTTGATACGCTGCTCTTCTTGCTTGGACGGCATTTTGACAACTGAAGAGTGAATTCCAAAATCAAAATAGGAGCAACATTCTACACACACACACCTTCAAAATGAGGGGTGTTCAGGTTTTTTAAATGCAAAATTGAAAGAAATACGTCAAGTTGATATTGACCAAATTTTGACCGTATCACCCTTTACCCCATGCTAGTCGAAATTCTACTACTACACAATGTTTGTTTTGATTCGCTATGAAAGTTTGACAAATAAAATGAGGGGTTCGTGGATTTTCCTATGTATCGAGGGATGCATCGATTAGCTTGGGATTGAAGATAGTACCAGAGCTGAGCCAAAAAGTTGAGCACGTTCTTCGGGACCTCCTGGTCTTAGAGTTACCTCTATGGTTGAACTGCAGATGCGAAGTATATCTGGATCGTGCACCATTTCCGAGGTATGACAGATATGAAGTGGGGGACATTTGATGACTTTCACTGGTGGTACCTTGTGGAAAGTATCACATCTGCAAAGGATCGTGAATTAATCATTTTGTCAAGCTTCTGCATTCATGTTCCATCAGATGTCACAGCTGTTGATTGCGGTGACATCTATCGGAAACTACACACAATCTGTTTTCTTATAATTGTTCACAGAGGACACTGCAGTGCAGAACTTGTCTGGTACCTCTATATATGCATTTAGATTATTATTTGAAGTCCCTCCTTTTTTACACATTCTGCACACAAAATAGCTCACCCCTCACAGAATTTCCCGCCAAATTTTATGTATGAGGTGGGGCATAAAGTATCTTTTGCGCTGAATATTAAAAAAAGGGACTTCAAATGTTAAATTAAATGCGTATATAGAGGTACCAGACATGTTTTGTAGTGTCAGGTACTCTATTTTGTAATCTGTGAAAGGGAAATCAAAAATCGAGTGTCAACAAAATACATGGCATGTTGAGAGATTGAGATCGGGAGAGCAAATTTTCTCTCTCAAATTTGAATGTTTTGGCTCTCTGGGAGCTAGTAGTAAATCAGGCAAAACTGTATGGGGAAAAATAATTTTTATTTAATTGTAGCTTGTTTAACAATAATTTCCGGGAAAAAATTGAACTACAAAGTCCCTGATTAATTTCTTTAGGTTGTCGTTCACTTTTTTATGACCTGAATATGCACCGAAAGTTTCGACCGTTTATTGTGTCCTTTTTTCAAGGGTAATCTAGAACAGTAATGGGCGATGCATAACTGACCGGTTGGATAACCCCAGACTGAGAAAGCTATAAAGTGGAAATCTTCTCACATATCAGTCGATATGTGTAAATTTCCCAGGTAATCAATAATTTTCGTAATGTCCTCTGGACTTTTATGTATATATAACATTTCTGGTCCATTAGGTTTATTCTTACGGTCATAAATTTTCCAACAAGTCAAAATCAGTGGTCAAACATCTCCATAAAATCCTCTGGATATACAGGGTACTCCTTTACTCGATTTCTTCCTAACTCGATATTATTCCTAACTCGATGGAAATCCACCCAAGTAACCAAAAGTTCTGATAAAAGGCTATTTATGGCTTAAGCAGCTTGGTTGAAGGTGGTCTATAGAATTCTAAGCAGCCTCATTTTTAAGTCGTTATATGAACTTGAAAATTCCGGTACCATAATTGAAGAGTATTCTAAGCAGCCTCTGGCGGAACTTGAACGGAACTTTTATAAAATAAATTATAAAAGGTTTTTGTCCTCTACACCAATTCTATATTTAGTTTGCACTTTTATGAAAGTTATTTCTAAAGGCAGGTATAGGTAGATGTGTATGATTTATCAGCATTAGTAGTAGAATTGGAGCTGTTTGAAGCGAGGTGTGAGAGCCCCAACACGAACCGCTAGGTCATCTGAGATATATTAAAGTGAGCTGTTGTCCCGCCTACTGTTGGAGTTTTTAGTGCCAGCTGATTGACTTGAATACGAAATTGGAGGCGAACCAGCCCCAGGCTGAAAGCCTCCCTAATAAAGATAAATTAATTAATTGAATACGAAACACAACACCTTAATGAATTTTAAATTGGTGTTTGCCCGCATGGTATTGCGGCGCAGTGGTTAGTAATCGTAGATCGCATGCCGAATACACGGGTTCAAATCCAGGAAATTACTCTTTAATTTTTTTATGTTTGGATAGAATGTGGCATAAATATAAGAATTATGGTTTATTCAGGCCACTGATGATTTCATATTTACGTACATTAAATTTTGTAACTAATGTGTCGGAACTTTATTTGAACTTTATGGAACTTGAAAGTTCTGTCAGAACTTTATTCGAACTTTATGGAACTTGAAAGTTCTGTCGGAACTTTATTTGAACTTTATGGAACTCGCCTAATGTCCAATCACTACTCGTTAAACGCTCACTTGTACCGTGTTGGGCTGGGGGACAGCAAGCTCTGTGAATGTGGACAAGGTTACTACTAGGACGTCTGTATTACACATTATTTGGTCTGGTGCTGAGCATCGTGGAGTCAGATCTGACGCGATCTGGAGTTTATGAAACTCATATGTTTTCTTTAAGAATGACCTTAGATTGTATGTTTGACTAACCTTGTGTTTAGTTTGTATTTTGTGTGTGTGTGTGTGTGTGTGTGTGTGTGTGTGTGTGTGTGTGTGTGTGTGTGTGTGTGTGTGTGTGTGTGTGTGTGTGTGTGTGTGTGTGTGTGTGTGTGTGTGTGTGTGTGATTTTTATAATGTTGGATTCTTTAAAAATTGTATAACTACACTGCTGATACCAAATTGTATAGGAATAAGTACATGTTTTAGGAATAATGAAATATTTGTATCGTAAATCATATCTCAAACCTCCTTCTCCCTCTCCCCATCGATAAAACTGTAAATATCGATGAACATTTCAAATGGTCCTATCTGCTTTGATCGATTCTCTTCATCGACCTTCTGTTTTGATAACCAAACAGATTTCGCGCAAATTTTACCACATAGTTTGATAAAGGAGGTTCTTATCTAGCGTCCAAAACGTCAAATGCAACAGAGAATGGTTTTGCAGCTGAATTATTAACGAAAGAGAAAGTCGATGAAGAGAATCGATCAATGCAGATAGGACCTTTTGAAATGTTTATCTAAAATCTCTACTAACCTCGAGACGACCGCCTGTAATCGGTTCAATTCGTTTAACTCTAGATTTAAGACATTAATTATATAAAACGTAAATAATCACATGGCTCTGTAAGGTTTATTCGATTGAGCCTGTACAAATAATTTAATACAGAAAAAAATAGATATTAGTTTTCATAGAAATTATGCGTCGCTTGAGGCATTGTTGCTCGCCAAAAATCATATCGAAAGATGATTTCCAGCCATTGCTATATGTGACCATCATTAGGAAAAAGGAACACTTTGAACACATAAACCCAGTGCAAAAAATTTTCATCATCGATTAAACTGTCCTTGAAAAGCGGCATCGAAAAAAAGAGGTAATTAAACACTTCCACCAGAGGTAGGGAGTTATTTAGACGCAACAAATATGTAGCAGCAAAATATTGAAACACAATTCAATTTTCTACCACCCAACCTGGCAACCCGACTTTTTGCCATTTCTCACCATCAACCGAGCCCCGACCGGCTCACTTCTCACCAGGCGCAACATAAAAACATCACTCCGCTGCTCACCCGTCGACTTCGCTCGGTGCCCATTCGCGAGTTATGCTTCAGTCAGCGATGAGATTCCATTTGTAACGGTTCATTTTTCGTTCGGTTGCTTCGCTCGGTGCGAAGCTCGAGCCTATAACAGTGGGTAGTGTTTTACCGCGGCTGCAGTCGATAGTGTGCGAGAGCCGCTGGCTTTTATTGTGTTGTTTTATTATTAGCCGACGGTGTGGTCTTTCGTCTGTATATAGACGCACACAGCTGACCAGGGCGGGAACGGAAAGGTGTGTGTTGTAGGCTGCTGCTGAAGCGTTTTGGGCAGTGGTGTTTTGAATGTGTAGTGGCTTAAATTTTAAAATTCCCGTCTTGTACGCCCCGAGTTCCAGCCGACGAGTAGTGTGGTGGTAGTTTAGTCAGTGGTTAAGCCGAAAAGGCAGCAGCGCTTGTGGTGTGGCTCAGGTCGTGTAGTTGGCTACTATTAATTGTTTACAATTACTAGCGATTCCGGCGGGTAATCAACGATGCGGTAGTGTTTTTGATGAGAAAAAGTGCAGTGCGAAACCTTTAACCTTTCAACGAGCGAGGATAAATTAAGATCGAAGCAGTTGGATCAAGTTTGAGTCATTTCTGCAACAAGGGAGTTTCCCTTACGAGATAGGTGAAGCGTGGATAACTTGGCCCCACTTTGGACGGACCTCATAGCACACCAACACCAGTCAGGTGAGTGTTAATCATAAGACAACAACTTGGTGGAGCAGAGGTCTCTCTGCGAGACCTGTGAAATTATGGCGTACCAATTTTGGGGCGTTAACCAAACTAAGTGAAATTTTTGAAAAAAAATCCATTTAATTCAGTTGAAAAACGTCAATCGGGTTGACGGGAAGACTGAAGGCGTTGTTTTCATTCACTGATACCACCTGTTGATTCACACCTTCAAGGGTGGTTTTCTCGAAAGAATGTGAGCCAGAGGGGCGTGGATCACCCTCACACACTCACGAGGGATGTGATCTTGCTTTTCGTTCCGATCAATCGGTGCTTTGCATATTTTCCTCAGATCAGAAGATTGTTTAAAAATTTAAGTAGCTCCATTTTATTTGAAATCAGTTAAAAGTGCAATATTTTCCTCTGCCACAGGTTCTACAATTCAGAGGTAACATTGTTCATTACTCATGTGCCCACTAACACATAGGTGAGATCTGGAGTCAATTTGCACAACCACCTTGACTGATCACAATCACAACCCTCTGGTGCGGTTACTTTTGCAGTCGATCATGATCGTACCAATACATACTTCCTTACATAGATAGATCTGTCGCTGTTGTACGACACGAGATGGGTGGGTAACGTCAGGTCAACATACACAACATCGGATTTTGGATACTTCTTGTCCCCTGACGTAATCATGTTTGTGTTGCCCGTTCAATCTGACAGGTTTCAGTTTGAAAGTGTCATGATTAACGAATGCATTTTGCCATGCAATGCATTGCCAAGCGATGATCGCCAACAGTTACTAACAGTAAGTGTAGAATTTTACATATTATCTGTTATTTCCTTGACCTGACAAATGGTACTCTAGGGTGGTACAACTATCGATATTGCTCCACCTCACTCAATGGATTCTAAATCAGGTGCTGATCATTATACCAATTGTTGAGCTCATTTGGTTGTGATATCATGCTGCACTTGCCCTTTGAAGTTTAGATGGGGATTACTATGGGAAAAGTGAACTTTTTGTTCCCATCGTCCTAGACTTTTCCCATAATGATTTATGGGTAAACTTGCGACTCCATTCAGGGCAACACTCCATGTTGCGCTTACGACATGGTAGCCTGGATTTGTTTGCCCTATTTTTCGAACCAAGTACACCAATGTTGCCTGTTCAGCAGTTGATGGAGCATGTCAGAAGAATAACGTGTTCCTATGGCGTCGCGTGCTTAATTTTTTAACCTGTGCGCCAAACTATATTCGTTACCAATTTACCATACTGTATCTACAAAACCTAGACGCATCATGCCATGACCATGATCCTCATTTAATTTGATCTCAAGATGATAGAAGCTCTGCCAATCACTTAGCTTAGATTAGGCATTTGATTATTCACAAACTTGGCGATGCCACTCGTCACCAAAAAAAAAAGCTCGCTTATAGGTGCACTATTTAACGAGCCTTGTCATGGTAGTGATATCGACATGTTTGGAAATCAATGCATTAGGGAGCTTCCATAAATGACGTAGCGTATTTTTGACGATTTAGACCCCCAGCATATTATACTGTACCTAGTACATGGCTGGGCACTTATGAATGCTACGTCATTTGTGGATGGTCCCTTAGAGATCATCCAAACTGAATTTAATCCTTCTTGAAGCAAACCAAGGTCGGAGATTTAGTTGAGCCACACTGTGGTTTGAAGTAAAGAAGTATAACTATAATGTAACCAAAAAGTCTATAAATATCTGAATGCATAATTCTATATTATTTGCACCTGTGTCGTGCACATGTTGCACGCCACTGGTAATTGCTATATAAACTTCAAAGGGTCAGTGCACTGTGAGCTCGCAACCAAATGGGCTCAAATTTTGGGAGAATGATCCGGACTTGATTTAGATGCGATTGAGAGGAGTGGAGCAAAATCGATATTTTGAACCTCCCTAATGGTGCAACCAGCTAGATAACGTTAACTAAATTAATCTAATCCAGGGCTGGTAGCAGGTCACTTTTTAGTGGCTTGGTCACTATTTTTAAGTCAGTCACTAAAAAGTCACTTTTTACACCAAAAAGCCACTAAAGTCACTATTTTCCCATCCAATATATAGGGCGTGAAAAACATCATCAAAATGTTTAAATTGAGTAGGGTTACGGTATGTAATGTGGGTCTAGTCCTTTCATTCGGCCTATCACGCAAATAAATAATTAATTAAGGAATATTACACAAAAAATAAGGAAAATATTGATCACTGATGATTGATAAATGTGTACCACACACAAATCAATTTATATCACAACATTTCAATACATTTTCAGCTCTCGTAAGTAATAAAACTGGTTGAGAATATCACTCTGTTCGGAGTTTTTAGCCGCCATGACTTCTAAGGTTAAGATGGGAAGGTTGCACTGACGATCATCAAATGGCCTGATTGTGGCATTTATTGAATGGAATTACCTGATAATACACACTAGACGTAAAACTCACAGTTACTGTTTGAATATTTTATGTTTATTTTAATTGTTTAACAACGTTTTCACAAGTAAATCATGGACCCAACTTTAGGGACACATTTCTTTTCTATGTTCCTAACTTTGGCCCATGAAATTCATTTGACAGCATATAGCAATAAGAGTAACGTCAACAATGTGGTTTGCATTTGGATGATAAGGAACGAACAGGAAGGGAGATTTTTTCTGCCAAATCTGTATAATGAACATCACAATGTTTTGATTTAGATATTCTGCGGTCGAAAGACGATAAGCGAAATTTTTAATTTTTAATTTTTAACTTGAGTGATTTAATGTAGTTTTCGTAAAATTTTCTCTAAGAAATGTTTTGAGGAATGAAGAGTATTAAGTTAACAGTGATAGTGATAAAAAAAAATACATAAGAAAACGTTACCAAGAGCGTTTTTTTTGAGAATCAAACAGGATAGGACGAAGTTGCATCCATAAATAGACCCAATTTGGGGACAATAGACCGATATTACATACATTTCCCTGGTGAGTTTTTGTCTTAAAAAAAGTAAGTTTTTCAACTTTTTGCGGTTCCTGATAGCAAACGACATGATAAGCATATCTAAGCATACCATTTAGCAGTAGAATATCGTTTGCAGGTAAATTAATTGATGAGTTATGATTAAAAACGTAATCTATGGCTGCATATTAGACCGAGGTTAGGGACGTATACCCTACTTTGCACTAAGGAAGTCTACAGTAGTTATGACGAAATATGCATATCTGTCGAATAATAAACAATTATAACCGGACAAATTCAATAAATTTTAAAACACCGGGAAACAAACTTGAAGAGTTTTGAATTTCGAGGACAAATCGGGGAAAATAAACTTCCTTTTCTCGAAAATAAATTCTGCATCTTGGAAACATTTCAATTATATTGGTCTATGCTAGATTTTCAGAAGTCTTTAATAAATTATTTAGAAATATATATGAAAATTTCAAAGGAAATTTGAAGAGAATATCAAAGGAATTAATCATTTTGTTCGACCATTTTCCACAGAGATGGCGCTGTTCCGCTGGTAGGAAGTGATAAAAATCCCCATAGAGAAATTGAGAGAAGTGGGAATAATTCGCTTTCGGTGCATATTCAGGTGAAAAAAAGTGAACGACAACCTAAAGAAATTAATCAGGGACTTTGTCGTTCAGTTTTTTCCCAGAAATTATTGTTAAACAAGCTACAATTAATTAAAAATGATTTTTCCCCATACAGTTTTACCTGCTTTACTACCAGTTCCCAGAGAGCCAAAACATTCATTTTGAGAGAGAGAATTTGCTCTCACGACCCCAATCTCTCAACATGCCATATATTTTGTTGACACTCGATTTGTGATTTCCCTTTCACAGATTACAAAATGGAGTACCTGACACTACAAAACATGTCTGGTACCTCTAATATATGCATTTGCTTTAACAGGGACTTGAACCTCCTTTTTTACATATTTTGCGCAAAAGATACTTTATGCCCCACCTCATACATAAAACTCGGCGGGAAATTCTTTGAGGGATGAGCTATTTTTTGTGCAGAATGTGTAAAAAAGGAGGGACTTCGAATAATAATCTAAATTCATATATAGAGGTACCAGACATGTTTTGCACTGCAGTGTCCTCTGCGAACAATTATAGGAAAACAGATTGTGTGTAGTTTCCGATCGATGTCACCGCAAACAACAGCAGTGACATCTGATGGAACATGAATTCAGAAACTTGACAAAATGATTAATTCTACGGATGATACCAAGATATTTCAGAGAAGAATGCCAAACTACACACAACGAAAGTCTCTTGTAAATTTATATGCTCTGTGGGTCGATTTGTTCACCTCCGCTAAACTGTCTTAAGGCTTAAGCGGAGGTGAAAGAATCGGCCCTGAGACTGACACATACGAGCTTCACTTTTGATATTACATGATTAAAAACGCAAAATTCAGCTCCAAAACAATTTTTGGAAGAATTCCAAGATAATTGAGATACGAGCTCCAGGTGCATTGTAACGAGAGTTCTGAAAAGAATTCTATGCCGATTGGATGAGGATTCTTGGTCCAAATTCTAATAAGTTTTAAAAATAAGTTCTGATAAATTATTTGAGCAAATCCCGTGAACTCCAAAGGTCTCCAAACGCAGCGAATATTAAAGGAATTCTGGGGCGATTTCTGAGGTTGATTCCAAGAGAATACTAAAGAATTCAAATGAAATTTCAAGGAGAATTCCAATAGAATTAAAATGGAACTGTGAGAAGAGTTTCAAGGGTATTCTGAGATGGATTTTCTGTTGAGAATTCCGAAGAAATACCATGGAAACTCTAAAGAGAATACGAATTCACGTTCCAACATCATTCAGAACAGAAATTTAAGACATTTCTGAGGTTAATTGCATGGGAATTCTAATGAGACTTCAAGTAAATTAATGTTTCGAAAAAAGTTCTTCAGAACATTGCGATGAATTTCTGGCGAATAATCAAGGTTAACTTACCTAAACATAGACATTTTTAAGATTTCG